CCCCCTCCATCTTTGTCTTCAATGCAGAAGACCTACCATAGAGGTGAGGGTGAACCCTCTGGTCCCTCAAATTTCAGACAAAATGAGATGCAGTACAGTCATCCATTAAGAAATGGATCCACCATCGAGGCAGGTTGTCATAGCATTCATCCAGACCATATTGGGCAGTCTGGAATCATTCATGCCCAGCAGGAGAACACTGAAAATGAATTGCAGGAATTAGATGGGGACACAGCAAGGTGTGCCTCTCAGTCCTCACTATCTGTTTCTAGCCCACCAGATTCTCCAATTCATCTTTCTCAGGATGACATGGACGGGTCTGGAGATTCTATTATCTCGTCATCTGGTGAAGATAAAGGTGTTGTCATCTCTGGGCTTTGCAATGACCCTCTTGTCTTGCCTTATGAAGCTGGAAAAGGGAATATCTTTACTGCTTCTAATTCTATTTCTGCTGGTGAGGATGATGAATGGAACATTGATAGCAATGGACAGTTGCAGGAGCAAGAAGAATATGATGAGGATGAAGATGGCTACCAGGAAGAAGATGAAGTGCATGAAGGAGATGGTGGGAATATTGTTCTGACTCGGGACTTTGACAATATGCATCTAGAGGAGAAGGAGGCATCTGATATAATGGACAACTTGGTCCTAGGCTTCAATGAGGGTGTTGAGGTCGGGTTGCCAAATGATGAGTTGGAAAGAAGTTCAAGGACTGAAAATGCTGCATTTGCATTGCTGCAGGATTCTGTTGGTACAGTAGAAGAAAAGGAATCTTTCAATGGGATGCATGCTGGACAAACCCTCGAATCTATGGATGCTCCTCATGTGAATTTAGATAGTTCTGCTAGAATCCTCCAGGAAACTGACGAGGGAATGCAGGATCTGGTTATTCAGCCCAGTGACATTCATCAAATATCACCAGCACCTGAGCTTGTGGATCATGTTGATGCTAGTAGTTCTGCTGTGTCTGCTTCCCATGCAGTCAGGTCTTCTGATCACACTGCCATGAGTGCTGCATCGTCTTTACAGAATCATGGGGAGACACCCGTGAAGCTTCCATTTGGGCTTTTTTCTGGTCCTTCTTTGATACCATCTCCAGTGCCAGCCATACAGATTGGTTCTATACAGATGCCTCTTCACCTTCATCCCCAGGTTTCCCCATCACTCACTCACATGCACCCATCACAGCCTTCTTTATTCCAATTTGGTCAGCTGAGGTATACATCTCCTATTTCCCAGGGAGTGCTTCCGTTGGCTCCACAATCAATGTCTTTTGTCCAGCCAAATGTTCCAAATAATTTTTCTCTCAACCAAGGTGCTGGAGTTCCTCTGCCTATTCATCAAGCTCAAGAGGTTTCCTCTCATAATCTGATAAAAACTGAAGGTTCATCTTTTCTGGGTAATCAATCTGGCCTTGTCTCAAGATCCTTGGATTTATCTCATGGGAGTGTTTCTAAGGAGCAGAACTCTTTGCCAACTAGAGAAAGTGGAAAAACTGTTGTGACACGGCAGGGTCGATTGGAGATTTCAAATGTTGGTAATAACAGTGCTATTGTTGAGTCAAGTTTCAAATCACGAGATCAGGGCAGCCAGAACTCAGTTGTAAGGAACTTTAAATCCTTGTCTAATAAGGAATCAGAAGTCCAGCTTCAAACTGTCCTGGTAGCATCTCAGTCAGTTCCTAAAGAGAAAGATTCAAGTGGGTCAAGGGCTCATGGGCAAATATATGGGAGTCGGGGAAAAAAGTATGTTTTCACAGTTAAAAATGCTAACCTGAGTTCATTTCAGTCTTCAGAGGCATCTTCCCACCAAGATTCTAGCGGATATCAGAGGAGGGCTCAGCGTCCACAATCAGAGTTTAGAATTCGAGAGAATGCAAATAAGAAGCAGGCTGCTAGGATGGTTTCTTTTGATCAGTCAAACCACCCTGGTCCAGATGATAAGTCAAATGCCAATGGAAGGGGTGCTGGATATTCCACGAGAAATGGAGTGAGGAAAGCTCTGGTGGTTAATAAATCAAAGCAGACAATTGAATCAGAGGGGTCTGGTTCTGGTCCAGTTAGTTCACAGGAGATATATTCTGGGAATAGGACTGAAAAGACTGCTGGAAAAGAATCATCAATTAAGATCCAGAATATCCCACACTCTGGAGAGGGCAACCTAAAAAGGAATATTGAAGATGATGTCGATGCTCCTTTGCAAAGTGGCATTGTTCGTGTTTTTCAGCAACCTGGCATAGAAACCCCTAGTGATGAAGATGACTTCATTGAGGTTAGATCAAAGAGGCAAATGTTGAATGATAGGCGTGAACAGAGAGAAAAAGAAATCAAAGCAAAATCCCGAGTCTCAAAGGTTGTAATTCATTTTGAGCTTCCCCTTTTTTATGTTTTATGATGCAAAAGTACTTTCTTGTTTATGTTCTTCATTCATTTATTATTATGAATTTTGTTGATAGCTGCTGCGAAAACCTCGTTCAAATACACCAGGTACTATTGGTTCAGCCGGCTCAAATAAAGGTTCTGTGTCAGTGAATGGAGAAGCAGGAAAAATTGTTCGATCCAATTTTGTTTCCAAGGCACATAATTTAGCAAGCAGTGAAGCATCAGCAGGATTTAGTACCGGGATAGTATCTCAACCTTTGGCTCCAATAGGCACTCCTGCCATTAAAAATGATTCCCAGACGGTGAAGTATGAACTCTCTCCGAATATTTTTTTTTTCCATCACAAATTGTTTATACAGCTAGGCAGTTAAATCTTGAGTGGTTTTCTACAGGTCCATCCAGACAAACTCTTTTCCAGCTCAATCAAATGGTGGAACAAACCTTGTTTCAGGATTCATATTTGAGAGCAAAAATAAGGTCCTGGATAACGTTCAAACATCATTATCCTCATGGGGAAATTCAAGGATTAATCAGCAGGTAGGAGTTACCTTTCTCTCTTTCATTGCCATGTAATTTTGGGTTTTATTGGACTGTGTTACTTTCCATTTCCGGACTCACCTTGTGCTATGTTCCTCTAAAGTCTACTCATTTGTTAAATCTGGCAAAAATCTGAGACATATTATTATATGTTGCAGGTAATGTCATTAACACAGACTCAACTTGATGATGCCATGAAGCCTGTGCAATTTAACTCTTGTGCTTCAATTGGAGATAGCACTACTGCAGTTAGTGAGCCTACTTTGCCCTCATCCTCCATCTTGAAAAAGGATAAGTCATTTTCATCAGCTGCAAGCCCACTAAACTCTCTGCTTGCTGGGGAGAAAATTCAATTTGGTAGGCATATTATGTCATTTCATACTATATAGCTTTCTTGGATTTGCAGTTGTTCCATGTCTTAAGGATTTTTGCCCCATTGAACAGGTGCTGTTACATCTCCAACAGTACTCCCTCCTAACAGTCGTACTGTTTCACATGGGATTGGCCCTCCAGGTCCAAGTCGGTCAGAAAACCAAATATCCCACAATCTTTCTGCATCTGAGAATGATTGCACCTTATACTTTGAAAAAGAGAAACACTCAAATGAATCTCGCATTCATTTGGAAGATTGTGAAGCTGAAGCTGAAGCAGCTGCTTCAGCTGTTGCTGTTGCGGCTATAACTAATGATGAGATTGTTGGGAATGGATTGGGTACTTGTGCTGTCTCTGTGCCTGACACAAAAAGTTTTGGAGCTACAGATATTGATGGTATGACAAGAAGTGGTGGAAAGATACATTATTTTACATTGGCAATGTTAGTCTTCCATTCTTTCTCATGCAGATGTTAATAACCATACCTGTCTATTTTTTTTTTTCTAATAATGTTTGGCAGGTATAGCTGGTGACCAGCAGATAGCAGGTCAATCTAAGTCTGAAGAGTCTCTAAGCGTAGCTCTTCCAGCAGATCTTTCTGTTGAGACCCCCCCAATTTCCTTGTGGCCAACTTTGCCCAGTCTGCATAATTCTTCAAGTCAAATAATTTCTCATTTTTCTGGAGGCCCTCCTTCGCATTTTCCCTTTTATGAGATGAATCCGATGTTGGGGGGTCCTTTTTTTGCTTTTGGAGCACATGAGGAATCTGCACCTACCCAACCTCAGTTGCAGAAGAGTAGTGTACCATCTTCAAGTCCATTGGGTACCTGGCATTCTGGAGTAGATTCATTCTATGGCCCTTCTGCAGGATTTACTGGTACGTTTATTAGCCCACCTGGAGGTATTCCAGGAGTTCAAGGTCCACCCCATATGGTTGTTTACAAGCATTTTGCTCCAGTAGGACAGTTTGGGCAAGTTGGTTTGAGTTTCATGGGTACAACCTATATCCCATCTGGAAAACAACCTGACTGGAAACACAACCCTGTTTCTTCTGCCATGGGTGTTGTTGAGGGGGATGTAAGCAATATGAGTATGACATCTTCCCAGTGTAATCCTGCCAACATGCC